TTCATGACCATATTTTCCTGATGACACTTTCTGTCCACATTCCCTCCACTGGCTTCTGAAAGAGCTCTGTGATAACCTTATTTTCCTTACTTTAGTTGTGCATTACAATGGCTTAATTCTATATTAAAATGCATACATATTTTAATCTGCTTTAAGTCTTTTTTGCAGAGGCATATTTGAAATAAACCTATTGCTAGCTTAAAGACCTCATTAAAATGCCTCTTAGGTTTTATTTTCATTAAATGTTACTAAAGCATATATATATATATATATATATATATATATATATATATATGATAACAAATTGCATGAGTTTTATATGGATTAGTAAACTAATGCTGGTATTGATGTGGTAGGATTATCCACAAGACTTAATCAATGGAGAGGAGCCCAGATGCTGTCACTTAGCATTGTAGATACTATGGTGATACACTGCACCCTTTCAAAGTTTGACACATACAAAAATAATTTTTTAAATTAAAAATTTAAATCATTTTGAGCTTTTTAAGAGATTTATTTATCATCCATTAATAAGGAGTTTTAAAAAGTAAAGAAATTCCTTCCTATGTTACCACATAGGTACTATTTCTTTGAGTGATCTATTTGAATGTGTAACTCAGTTAAATGAGTATATGAACAATATATATGCATACATTGAAGATGTGGGAGTAAATTAATTATGTCTAAAGTTTTAGAAACCACAGAGTGTTGGTCATTCTTGACCACTACCTTGGTTGAATCTAGAACCAGCTAATGGATATGTCTCAGGGAAGATCTGCAAGGGTGTTTCCAAGAAGGATAAAGTAAGTGACAGAGACCCTTCTCTAGAGTAAGCAGTACCTACCTATGGTGCCCAGATACAAAGAAGCCCAAGGGTAAAGTGATGTTGCTCTCACCTGACCACCTTCTTTCTTGCCAATGATTGTCTATGCTGTTGCCACTACTCTAGTGGCCACACTTCTCTGACATTGGAAGCCAGCTTTTTTGGCCTTCTAATGTGAACTGAAGAGCAGTAGTTATGCAGCACACTCCAGACAGTTAGCACTAGTTTGGGGCTGCAGAAGCATGGAGCTTGGTGGATCTAGTATCAGTCTGGTAGACTGAGTAACTATTGATTTCTTAGCCTTTCCAGTGTGTAGACAACCCTTGCTGGACTATGGATTTCCTACTGTGTCAGCCAGTCTGCTACATCCCTTCTCTTAACATATACTCATTCTTTTGGTTCTGTTCCTCTAGGGAATACTGACCATCGAACAATCTCTGGTAAGATTATGAAGCAATTAACATACATTCCATTCTAACTCAAAGAAAGTTAAAGTTAGGGCCTGTAAGAAACAAGAGACAGGATTCAACCTTTTATTCTAGGGGAAATAACTGGATTATTTTTGTATTATGAACTTGAAAAATTATGCCTAAAGCTCAACACTCATCTTCAAAAATCCCAGGAATAACTGCATTATCTCAAAATCTGATGGTAGCTTAGGTACAAACAAAATGAAACCACTCTGTGATAATTCAACCAGATCTTTTTCACATTATTGTAGGACCAGGGCAGTGAGTCAGAGCATAAGTCACTCAACATGTACATAGTACAAAAGCTGTTCGAAACCATCATACTACAGACTAAAGTGGAAACAGACTAGCGAGATAATATAATAAAGAGCACTCCAAAGGTATGCAAAATAGAAAATATAGATTCCAGTTTTGAAATGTTGAGTTCAATATGGAGTCTGAGTTGATGCCAGAGATTATTTTATAGTCACCATTAAAGGGGATAAGAGAACATCATTTGTTGTCACATATATTTCAGTAGGCTGGATTCTGACCTATCATGTTTCTTGTCAATAAAGAAAAATATTTTTACCCAATTGCAAGCTATTTCTAATCTAAAAACATCCAAATGTCTACATATTTGTCTTCCTTTAAGTTTTTATTCAATCCATTTATCCATATTTCCTGCTATCCTTCTTATTTATGAGGTTCTCTCTCCTCTTATTATTAGGCACACCACCCTCATTGAATGAAGGTCTGCTAGGTATAATTTCTTTCCCTTTTCTGTACAAGGTGTACTTTTTAAATTAAACATAATTATTATGGAAGTATCCTAGTTAGTTTGTTTATAAGGAATTTCTTCCTGAGTTTGTAGCATATTGTCTCTAATGAATGTATTGTCACATAAAATTTTACTCTTTAACTTCATAAGTATATAAGTAGCCCAAATTCATTTGCAAGTCCCAACCATCAATATTTATTGCCTGTTTACTTCATTCTAGTGGGAGAATGGCATAATTTATTTTTAATGGAAATAAGTAAGTCTGCTTTGTTTACTACATAAAGCGTCCTAGTTTTTAATTGGCTAACTGTCATCTATAATAGTGCTAAATAAACATCAAGCAAACATTGCTATTCAAATTAAGGATCTATCTTATTTTACAGATGGGCAGACTAATTAAGAGGTTAATGTCTTATCCACTAGAGTTCAGCTATAAAAATCCTCAGACCAATGCCCATTCCATCCAAGGTGTTCCTTAGCAGTCCTATAAATCCAAGGGGGGAGTTATTGTGAACTGTATGTAAACATTGAAAAATAAATGATATTAGATGAAACTGATGTGATTAGAAGGTGCAGCTTGGAGGGAAGGAACTGGACCTTGAGGTCAGAGCCTTCATAGATGGGATAGGCACTCTTATAAAAGCAGTATTAAACAGCAGATTAACCTGAAAACTGGCCCTCATTGGAAACTGACTCACTGTCAACCCTATGTTAGCATTCCCAGACCAAAACAATAAGAAATATCATCTATTGTTCATAAGCTACCCAGTCTATGAATTTTGTTATGATGGCCAAATAAGGTAAGGCAGAGGGGCATCATGCTTCAGGGAACTTTTCACTCCCAAATTTTGTATACAGATAGGCAACTATTCTGTTTCAGTGAGATGGGTGGGAGAAGGGCAATATAATACTATTTTTTTCTTCTACCATCTAACCTAGCAGGAAAACAAAACAAAAAGGCAGGGGAAAAAGTGGAGGTAGGTGATCAGCAAAGGAGATGCTATGGGAAAGGTGAAACTTAGAAAGGAGGAGAGACAGGGAAAGGATGTGAAAGAGGAGACAGGAATGAGGGTCGGGGACTCAATCCTGGTAATTATCATATTCAGAGTAGCAGATATAACACATACAACCAGAAGAAAAGGATGGACAAAGTGAAGAGAGCCTGCCAGTGAGTGCATGTGGTTGTGAAAATGGGAGTGGTTGAGTCACAGGCTAGTACATGTGTAAGCAGAGTGTTTGAAAGACAAAGCCAACAGTCTGAAGCAGCCTCCCTGAGCCTCACTGTTGGAGGCTGATGGAAAGAGCTCCAAAGATTCTTCTGAGGGCTTTATAAATTTAAATCATTGCTATAAATTCCAGTTGACTAAATTCTTTAATTTGAATGTAATTATAATATGTCCTAACTCTATAGACCCATCAGGATTAAACAGCAATGCTCTGGATGAGCAAGATCTATTTATTATAAAACAAAACATCTCCTCTATGAATCAAATGGGCAACAGCTGTCTGGTCTTTAAAAGGAATTATCTCTTTTGTCCTAAGATTAGCCAGGCTGCAGAGGAAAGTAGGGAATTAACTATCATTATCAGTTCAAGTCACCCAGCAATTTCTGCAGTGAAATAGCCCAACCATATTCAGAAATTATCATGAAAACACTCAGCTTTCTAGGTGAATTATTATTGAATTTATATTAACCCCTGGGCTAAGTATCTAGGGAACTTTTTTTTAAAGTTGCTAATGTAAAAAGATGTGCTGCTGATCTCTCAGTCTGGTCATATCCAGTGAGAGTTATTTGCCCCAGGGTCTGAGCTACATTGTAATCCAATCAAAGGACATAAAAACTGTGGCAGGAACAGTGCTGAAATTGGAGAAGTGTCATTATGAATAGCAACAAGTACGGAGATGCCCATGCGGGAGAGTCAGAGTCATAAAGCCAGAGTTCTTTCTTGATCGACGGTGCACAGATAGTTATAGCTCATTTGCCAAATGATCTGCGGTTATGAATAGCAACAAGTACGGAGATGCCCATGCGGGAGAGTCAGAGTCAGTAAAGCCAGAGTTCTTTCTTGATCGACAGTGCACAGATAGTTATAGCTCATTTGCCAAATGATCTGCGAGGTAGGTATTCATGGATTATTATACGGAATATTATTGAGGATAAGCCTGGTTAAAAACAAATACAGAAAAGAGTAAATAGCACAGGCAGGCTTTTAGGAAGGCCATCATTTGTAATATTTTCAGGGGGAAAAAAGTCAGAAATTCCACAACATGGCTAATGTGCCGTAGAAGGACTCTCCATTTTAGGAGTACATAAATCCACATAAATTGTTGTAATAAGGATCCATCCTATAGCCCTTTTGGCATAAATGCACATCTGGTCTCTGTTTGTAATGAAATCAATTCAAAGCCCCACAGCGCATTAATAATAAAAATGTTCAACATATTGCAACTGAACAAGACCAAATTTGAGTCCAAAGATCCTGTCACACATGTGTGTACTTTTAGCATTGATAGATACACAACATTCAGTGAGTCGCTTGGATTCCAGAAGTAGAGTTTGCTATATTATTATTTCAGAGGAAACTCCATATGCATGTATACTTAAAATTTTTGTTTGCAAAAAAATTGCTTGCTTGATGGTAGTGCCTCTTGGATGCTCATATATGTATACAGCTCATGGTATGATAGAAAAGTGATTAATAATAAACCTACCATAAATAATAATGCCTGGCTAAGAGTAAGTGCATGGGTTTGCAATTTAAAAACAACAGAATCCTGAAATTTACACATAATGTGTTAGAGGTTGTCTTTTTAATTTGAAATTCTATTAAAATGAAATGACTGTTGTAGATTAACTTCTAAACTTATACTATTTGTTTTTCAGCACTAGTCATCAACAACCAAGAGACAGAGCCTGCTAAGCCTTCCTCGTAGGTTTCATGTTTACCTTCTGTGTTATATGATTGACCCAAGGAGAAGAGCAGTTGCTGAGATCAGGTCCTTGGGGATCCCATATTCCATCAGGAGCAAGGCATAGGTAAGTTGATACACCTACAAGAAGAAAGAAACACTCCTGTTTCAAATACTCAAATCATATTTCTTAGAATAATTTTACATCTTTTCTATGTATTTATAGGCAAGGGTAAAAATTAGATATCTGAATTGAGATAGTGTCTATTAAACTCAGATATAATTTCTGAAAATAAATGGGCCTTGGACGTATGTTAAACAACACATTAAAAGGAGTTAATGTTGTTAGGATCTTGTTGGCAACCATGGTGGGTATAGGGAAGAGTTTCATGAAATAAGACCCTGGGTAATTTGTCTTCAAGGACCTTTTGTTCGGTTTACAAGGGTAGGACATTATTAACAATGCAGGTTATCAGGAAAACAAGGTAGGAAAGGCTACCTTGTTTTTGAGTATGGGAAACATGTTGCCTTTGGGAGAGGTCAAATTTTGAATGGGTTTTCTACTGAATGAAGGAGTTGTATTTAATGAAATGGAAAGGAAAGGAAGCTGAAGCATAAAGCCCCTTGTCTACTATGATAGAAATTACTGAAGATTATTAAGAAGAAAGAATGGTTAGATTCAGGTTTCAGAAAAGTACCCCTGGTAGAAGATGGATCTGAATAGGGGCTATGCTTAAAGTGAGGCAGCTATGACTAGAATTCATTGAGAATCTGTGTGTACACCTGACCTTTCAGTCTAACAAGAATGTAGAGATCTATAAAATTGGGGCTCAGGTATACTGGCAGTACCATTGAAGTCCTGGGTTCAGAAGGGTTCCACTAAAACTCTTCTCCAGTTTTCACAAACAACACTGATCTATTTCAGCAGGGCAAAGCACCTTTGCATTAAGGTGGTCACTACTGCTTACAGGATCTGTCTAGAGCAGCAAGGCTGGTACCACTTCTCTTTCAGTGAGGAAGGGACCGACTTTATCAGTAAGAAAGAAGTCTTAAATGACATTTGGAGTCCAATGCAACAGAAACTTTAGAAACAAATATTGTCATTCCTTTTCAGAAAGAGAAAAGAATGGTGCTGAGTTTTTAAGCACGTTGCTTAAAAAAAAAAAGGGGGGGGGGCTCTTATGAAAAAAACAAGACCCTCTTGTGTTCCCAGCACTCCCTGTATTATGAAATCTAGAATCACATATCCACATAGTTAAAGAAAACAAGCGAATAATGTCCAAAGGCAGTCCATAAGAATATATGTACATATAGCAATTGTATATTTATTTCATTTTTATGTTGGAGGAATAATGCAAATACTTTTCAGTGTGTTAAGTATTATGAAGGTGAATATAAATGTCAAGCAAAGCAGTATATTTGTCTTAAAAGTGGTAACTAAGACTGCACCTTGGGAATATTATAAATTATGGCAGAAATCAAACAGATTCCGAGTTACTCAGTCCTTAACTACCTCCAGGAAGAAGCAGAAGGGATTGTTCTTTAACGAGACTGCACCTTGGGAATATTATAAATTATGGCAGAAATCAAACAGATTCGGAGTTACTCAGTACTTAACTACCTCCAGGAAGAAGCAGAAGGGATTGTTCTTTAACCGATCGATGCTTGTGAGTGGGAGATAGCTCCTGATAGCAGGCTCATGACCATCTCACATCCCTTTGGACACTAGAGAACAACTACATAGTTCGTGAAAAAGATATTCATGCTTCCTCCCTTTTTAAAAGTAAGATGTGATCAATGGTCATGTACTGTAGAAGTCCACACAGCTCAACTTCTGCTGCTAATATTTACCCACCACTGAGAAACACAAAGCAACCTGGATACAATTCAATAACAATGCAGGAATGTGGCAAGGAGGACCCTGCTCTGGGGAGCATCATCTGACGCCCCCGCCCCCAGAACTAACACTAAAGGAAAACTGTTACTTGAAGGCATTTCCAGCAAATTCTCCCTGTGACATCTGCAGGTTCTGTTATCCAATGCTAACCATATAGCACTCATTTGGTTGCGCTCATAACCTAATCAAATCTCAATAAATACAATACATGGTAACAACAAAAAGAAGCGAACACATAGGAAAGAAGACAAGAGAAGAGAAATAAAAAATAAAAATATAATGTGAAAGAATCAACACAAAATCAAGGCAGGCCTGTGCTAGGCTGGCTGTAGCCGGCTCACCTATCGTTCCGGCGGGGCAGGGCTGCTTTGCTACTTGCCCCTGGCGGGTCTTAAACCACATTATTTCCCGGGCTTCCACAGCTTCACAGCTCTCTTCCACAGCTGGAATTTGGGAGGCTGCAGATGGCAGGTGTGTGGTGATGTCATCCAGCACCTCCACCGCTGGGGATGGTGTGCTGGTACTGCGGTTTCTTCTGCCTGGCAAGGATGGGGTGGTACTCCTCCCTGGGTTCCAGGTAGTAGTCCGGAGAGTGGTGCTGGTAGTTGTGCTTCCCATACCCAGGGGTCCTGTGGTAGAAATTCCTGAAACACAGTTGGAAAAACAAAACAAAACCAAACACCTACATTGCTTGTTCATAGTAGGACCTCAGGAAGTCCCAAGAATAGAAATCAAAACCACTTCTATTTGACTATTGAGAATGTTGAGACCCTAGAAATCCATGACCTCATTTTCATTTCAAACATGGCAAAACTGTGCCAGTACTGAGGTGTCAGAATGCTATTTGAGAACCACAAGATCTATTTGACTACTGCCAAATGCAGGCTTTTCAGGTTGTTTTCTTTCTCAACTCTAATCACAGAAAACAAAATCACAGCACAGTCAGACTCTTTGTAAACTTCTTAAAGCTTTCTAACAACAGGGATTTAAAACCTTAAACCCTCTACTTAGAATTTCAAACCCGATATAGAAAGAAATTAGATATTATATTCCTAGTAGATGTTATGATTTGAAAGTGGAGAGTCCACCACAATTTCATTTGTGAAAAGCTGATCCACAGATGGTGACCCTGGTTTGAGAAACAATAGAATTTGTAAAAAGTAATGCCTAGTTAGAGGGAGTAGGGCCAGTGTTGGGGGCGGGGAGGGGTATGGGTTTTATCTCTGCCAGGAGCTGGAGGAATTAACTCTCTGCTCTCTGAGTCAAGGACAGAGACATGAACAAGCTGACTCAAACTCCCACTGTCATGGCCTGCTGGTCAAGCTAGAGTACAACCTTCAAACTATGACACAAAATAAATCCTTCCGTACAATAACTAATACATTACATAATGTGTTTCTAAATGTGACAAAGGCAAAACAATAACATGACAGAAAGGACCAAAACAAAAATCCTTACACACTCAAACAATTAATGAAAAAATTTTTTGGTTTTTCGAAACAGGGTTTCTTTGTGTAGCTTTGGAGCCTATCCTGGCACTCTGTAGACCAGGCTGGCCTCAAACTCAATAGATCTGCCTGCCTCTGCCTCCAGAGTGCTGGGATTAAAGGCGTGCGCCACCAACGCCCTGCTGAGGCCACAGATTTGAAGGAGAGCATGAAGCAGTATATGGCTGGGCTAGGAGGGAAGAGAGGGAACGGGAAATATTTTAATTACATTATAATCTCAAAAAGAGCAACTCTGAGTATAATCTCTTACTACATATCATTTGACTACTTTAATGGTCTATTTGCATACTTTCAGAACTGACTAAAAAACAATCAAATTTGACTTACTAATGTAAGTAGCAAGTTCTTCTTAAGAAGTTACATTGCTAAATTGTTTTAAAGAACATTTTCACATGACTAAATGTATTCTAAGGACCAAGTAAAGATGGTTAGGGGTAAGTGAATGTGAAGCACATCAAAGTTATCTACTATCTATAAGGGAACACTCATTAACAGAATTCTATTTCTGGGAAAATATATTTATGCTTTTACTGTGGAGTTGCCAGAATGCACTATATACACACACTACATTTGCAGTACTAGAAGTCAAAACTACTAGCTTCACTTACTGACAGACTACAGAGACACCGGCTCTAGCCCAGTGTAAGCTAACTCATATCAAAAAGTTTGGGCATTCCTATGACAATAGTACAGTCCTTTATGGTCTACATGATGGAAATTAACTTCATAGTGATAAAAGTCTGATTGTCAATCCTCAGTTGCCCCAGGAGAGAGCCCTCATCATTATGCTGTACATGAAACTTCCAATCCAGGACTGATATGCCAAAGGTGGGGGATAGTGATTGTCAAACATCAAATGACTATAATAGTAGCATTCCTATTCTGATGCGCTCTATCTTCATGTTTAATCTGTTTGCCTTACTTTGTCAAGTTTCTGCTCTTCTGCTTTTTTTTTTTTCTTTTTCTTTGTATATGAAAGAAAAGTTGGCAGGGAAAATGGTTATGTAATCAGTTGAAACTACAACTGCCTCAAGTTGAAACAAGAAGGCAGTGTCTCTTTTCTATTCCTCTCACAAGTATATTACGGACTCCAAATTGTAAAAGCTTGGCTGATTGTGTCTCTTTCTTCCATCTGAAACCTGCATACATTTTTCATTCTTTCCCCAGTTATTGCTGTACCCAAAGTCTTTTCTCATTGATGAATGGATACAGTAGGGTTTTGAGTATTTTTCTGACAGCTACAGCAGAGTAGAATGGTCATACTGTTCAGTATTTTATTGCTGCAAAATAAAAGCTCAGGGTTCATAAAATATAATGATTGACTCTGATATTTGCTATGGATTAAATAATTTTTAAAAACACATTTCAAAATGTCAAATGCAATTGAAGCTTTAGATTAGAAACAACAAAGGGTGACTAAAAACATATTTAGTTATCAACAAAAATATATGAGAAACATCATTGGAAGGTAAAAATAAATTGAAAATTACATACTTAACATTTATTTTTAAAAATTTGTGTGAATGCATCATCACTGGGTTGAAGAGTATTTTGAATTTTTTCAGGTGATAATTTTTTCAAATGATAAAAGATTTTTGACTTACTACTGGGGGGATGTTACGGCAATAGTTAAAAGTGAATCTGTGTGTTTCTCCTTAATTTAAATTAAGCCAGCTCTCATTTGTACTTATGAAAGGACCACTTAGAGGAACTGTGAAGCTTTTGACAGGAACTATAATCTTTTCATTGATAATAAGCTGTAGTTTTTATTTCACACAAAGCCTCACTTGTTCTTTGTCTTTTTAAGTTTGATCACATAAAAATGGAGACTCGCAGAGTTACCTGTTATTAGCTAAATAATCTTATGTTCAAATTGTTTTGTGAACCTCTTTGAGCTAGAGGGGAAAATACTTTTTAAATAGAAACTGTTTTCAATTGTCTTCTTTCTCAAGACTTATACAGGCACTGCAGAATGCATTCAAAATGAATGCCCTTTTCAATACTGGATATTTTAATTAGCATGTAACTAGGAGGGAGATTTGTTCAGCAATAATTTTCTGTATAAAAGCACGTAGTTGTACATATGTACAAGGAGAGCCTCCAGCCTACCGTCTCAACTGCACAAATCATACAGGACAATGGCAAACTACCACAGGATTTTTGCTTGTGGTGACTCCAGCCTTAAAACTTACAAATATCTTTTAGTATACGTTCAGTGTGTATGTGACTACACTTTAGTAAATAATACAGTGTTTTGAAGACTACACCATCACAGCAAAATTTTTAGAAATAACAGTACCATGTAATAAAATAAAAATTATGCTTTTTCTTTTCTTTTTCTAAAATTTACTTACTCAAAGCATTTCCTAACTTCCCCAGAGATAAACAAAAAAAGTCAATAGTGTTACTCTCCCTTTCAAATTCTTAAGTGGTTTCTGCATGCCCTCCAAACAAAACTAGAATGTTTTTACTTCATGCTCAAACCTTCAAGAGCTTCTCCAGATGATTCTGAACACTCATCTTTGTAACTCCCCATGTAAACCACACAAATCGTCCAGCAAAGACAGTCTCCTTCTCTGTCACAGAGCTTTTGTCCATGTTACAGAATATCACTGCTCCATTTTCATCTCACTATGTCCCTATCTCTCCTTTGAGTCACAGATTTCATGACACGCAGCTCCATCAAAGAGCCTTTCCAACTTCCCTAAGTCTGGCTTACATGCTAGCACGTGGTTATTAAAATGATTTCTTCTTAAGTTGGCTTTACCTCAGGCAACTGAGCCCTAAGTTAAGGTAGATGAACATCAGAGATACGTCCAGTAAGGAAGCAGTAGAGGGCAGAAAATCAGCAAAAATGAGGAAAACTATGCAGATGAAAGAACACATGACAGAGCTAACTGTCTCTTAATGAACAACCTATAAAAACTTAGATATCGTTTACTTTTTGTGTGTTGGTGTTTTGCCTGCCTGTATGTGTATGTGGGGGTGTGGGATCCCCAGGAAATGGAGTTACAGTTAGTTGTGAGCTGTCATGTGGGTGCTGGGAATTGAACCCAGGTCCTCTGGAAGAGCAGCCAGTGCTCTTAACCACTGAGCCTCCTCTCTAGCCAAAAACTTAGATATCTTAATAAATTAATTTATGTTTATCACTAAAGAAAACTGCTTCACAACACAAAGAATATAGAACTTAAGAAAATGAACATTGTTCCCTTTAAAATGTCTGTAAATCAGTACAGTCATAGCAAGTATGCTCTAAAAAAAATCTCAGCTCAATACAGACAAATTCTAAGAATCAAAATATAATTTCTTTTCTTATAACTGTGTTACTGAGAATTGTCTAAAAGTGGGGATTGCCCAGTTCTGATTAAATTGGAATTTAATCAGAGATGAAGTCACTTTTTAACAGCTACCTGTGCTTGCCTCCTAACCCTTTTCTGCTTACTGATAAGCTGGGCTGTGTTTGATACCAACAGAGTAAATATGAGTGAGGTACATGATGTCCCTTGAGGTTGGGAAAGAACCTGTCTTGTTGTTAGATATTGACAAAAGAAAACTCTGAACCCTCAGAAATGCTGTTGCCTGTTGGGTTCCAGCCCACATCACATGCTATGAGAGTGTCTTGGCCTTCCAAAAGGAAAAAGGTGACATGACAGTCTCAGTGGATGCTGCTGTACAATCTCAGACCTTCAGATGGCACAAACTTAATCGAACTGTGTGCTAAGTGTCTCTGTGTCATGCAACTTGGAAAGGTTACTGTGTGAAAAAAAGTAAGTTTGAGTGACTACTTACATTTAGCATTTTATCCTAGTTGAATATTTTGTTTTCACCATACTTTCCCCAGTGTGTTTCATAATAATAGTTAAACAAAATGCCATAGTGAGTTTCCCTTCATAGCCTTATCCCCACCCAGCCACACATACATTTAAAAAACCTCTCAGTTCTTCTGACTCTTGATATGTCCACAGCTTATGCATTTTTTATTATTTGACTTTTTTGTTTTATCCTCCAGTCTATCTTGAACACTCAGTACTTAGAATGTTAATGCAATTTTG